TGGACCTATTTCCTGCTGCCCACCTCTTTGACTTGAAGGTCCTTTCCCGGTTTCTGTGAGTTCCTGCCCTACTCCTTCAGAGGATCTGTGTCTTCTTCCATCTGTCAAACAGTGGTGCTTCTCAGAATCTGTCACCCTTGCTTTCTCACTTGAGAGGTGTTCCATGAGTGAGTTAATTCCCCCTCAAGGTATTTTACGCTCAGTGATCTACAGAGTTCCCCAAATTCTTGTCTCCAGGTTGAATGTTTCTTTCTGGTCATCCTTCCACACCTTGTCAGTATTCATACATACTGAGCCTGTCTGCATGTGTCATGTGGTCATGGCCATCACCATGAGGATGCACCCACAATAATCATGAGAGCAAGCAGACATGATATGTTACAGTCATTGTTTTGAATTTTTTGCACACATCAACTCTTATCCTTTGCAACATGCCTGTGGTAAGTGATGTTATCCCTGTTTTACAGATCAGAAAACTGAGGAACAGAAAGGCTAAGGGATTTACTAAGAGTTGTACGTTTAACCAAGAAATATGAGATTAGGGTTTGAGGCCAGTTAGGGTAGCTGTAGGATTCATGTCCGTGGCCTTTCCTATATTCCTTCTCATAGGATGTCTGTTTTCCTGGTCATCATCATTTTTATTAAAATGGATCAAATTATGCTCATTTAGCTATAATCCCCTTTTCTCATTTGAGTGAGATAAACCAAACTTAACTTTTTAACAGCTGCATAATCTGTTACAGTGTTATAGGAATTTACAGAAAAATTTCTGGGTTTCAGATGGTAGGGAGATAGAAGAGGACTACAGGAAGCATTTGGATTTACACATCACGTTTGAGGTGCCTGAGAAACATCTCAGTGAATCCCACTGTGTTCTGTCTTGTTGCCCGAGCTGGATACCTTGCAGCCATTTTTCTTTCATTATCACTGCATCCAGTGTATCCTTCTGTTGTCTTTAGCTTTTTATTTTCCTTAGTAGACACTTAATGTGTGTGTCTTAGTAAATGGCCACACACAGCACATTTTATTATAATATTTGGGTCCCTCACAGAGTGGTTACACAAAGCTGTGTATATAGTTGGCACAGTATATAGCATATGTTGACTTCGGAGAGAAACCACACCAGCTTTTATGACCAGATCTCTAAGACTTAAGAAGTCATAATGAATGGTGGTGGAGGTGTGGGGGTAACTCAGTGGTAGAACATTTGACTGCATAATGAATGGTGGTATTGAAAGTCCTCAAGACTACCCCAGATTTAATGATTTACTAGGAAGACCCAAAGGACTCAGCATTTACTCAACAGCTGTGGTTTATTTATTAAAGCAAAAGGATACAAAGCAAACTCAGCCAAAGGAGAAGGCAGAAGTCCTAAAGTTCTTCAAGAGTTCTGCGTGCATGAGTTCTGCGTGCATAAGTTCCATCGATGAGTTATGACAGCATCTGTGAAATGTCTACTAGGGAAGCACATTAGAAACTCCATGCCGTGGGGCGCCTGGGTTGCTCAGTTAAGCATCTGCTTTCAGTTTAGGTCATGATCCTGGAGTCCCGGGTTCAAGCCCCACATTGGGCGCCCTACTCAGTGGAGAGTCTGCTTCTCCCTCTCTCTCTGCCTCTCGCCCGCTCGAGTCTGCTTCTCCCTCTGCTCTTTACCCAGTTTCTGCTCTCTCTAAAATAAAGAAAATCTTTAAAAAAAGAGAAAGAAAGAAACTCCATGTACAAGGTTATTATTGGGCACGATTTCTCTAAAATATAATCAAAATTCTAGACCTCCAGAAGAATAGCAGATCACCAGCATAAGCCACATTGTTGACACAAACAATAGGCACACGGAGCCATTTGTCTTTTCTGAGAATTATGGGAAATCTGAAATATAAGGTCCCAAACTCCAACCAAGGGCAAACTTTGAATCTCAAAGGATAACAGTCTCAGGCCTGCAATGTCAGCTCTTTCTTCACAGTGACTTGAATGGTACTAAAAGTTTGAGTAAATTCAAATATCTTTTACAAGCATTAAACAAATACAGTTTGCTGTAGTGAAAAAGTCCTAGCTTTGAGGTCACGGCTTATATACATGTAAACGATTGTAACTAAAACAATTAAGTCACAGTACCTATTCTTACAAAGTAGCGTTTAATTTAATGGTGACAAAGTACAGAGACTGGTGAGACAGGCTCTTGCCTCTATATACATAAAGCTTCAGGTGATTTGATTTGCAAATATTCCCTCTTTTGCCTTTATTTCTACAAAGATAAAATGGCCAGGTCAATGCTGTTATTTACATTGCACATATGTCAGTGATTTCTCATTTACTCTTTGTTCCCACTGTTAAAACTTGTAGCCTTTGGCTCCAGAAAGAGAAAATTAAATATGTTGTCATAATTTATGCATCATTATATGTGCATAACTTGGGATTAGTGTGTTGCAGGCCTCATCAGGTTGATGGATCTGTCAGAGGGAGTGACTGGGAGGAAGTGGGAGCATTGGACTCCAGATGGGAGGGCTCTATACAGAGACCTGATGCTGGAGGCCTGTGGGAATCTGGCCTCAGAGTATGTGCAGCTCCCTCTGTTCTCACACTTGGCCCACAGACGGCCTTTCCTGTCTCAGTTGTGCGATGCAGGGATGCCTCTGGAATGCTCAATGATGTCATCCTTGAGTTTTGAGGGTTAATGACCTGTAATCTGCTTGCTCACAGGTAGGTTACACGTCTCACAAGTGAATGGTCTAAATTGAGCTAAATTGTAAATGGGCAACTGCGTTTTGCCTTCCTTGGAGCAGTGGAGTGTCGAGCATGGGCCCTCTAGGAGGAAGAGCAAGATGGCGGAGGAGTAGGAGACCTAAATTTCGTCTGGTCCCAGGAATTCAGCTGGATAGGGATCAAACCATTCTGAACACCTACGAACTCAATAGGAGATCGAAGAGAAGAATACCAGCAACTCTGAACAGAAAAGCGACCACGTTCTGGAAGCAGGGACCCAGCAAGTAGCAGATCTGGGGATCTGCCCAGATCCCCCAGGAGGAGCGGTGCAGGAGCGCACTGCAGGGATCTGCTGGGTTTAGAGACTCCAAACGGGGTCAGGTGCCAGAGATAGAAACGCTCGGTCACAGGCTGGCTGAGCACGGAGTATGGCCAGAGACTGGAGAGATAGGAGTGATTGCTTTTCTCCGGAGGCTCACTGAGGAGTGGGGCCCCGAGTTCTCAGCTCCTCTGGGGTGGAGATTGGGAGGCCGCCATTTTCTTTCTCCTCCTCCAAAGCTGTACGGAAAACTTACAGGGAACAAAAGATACTAAGAGCAAAACCGAACTGATTACCTAGCCCAGCCCCTAGCTAGGGCTGGGCAATGACGCCTTCGGCAAAGGCTTTTTTTTTTTTTTTTTAAGATTTTATTTATTTGTTTGGCAGAGAGATACAGAGAGAGAACAAGTAGGCAGAGGCAGGCAAGGGAGAGGGAGAAGCAGGCTCCCTGCCGAGCAGGGAGCCCGATGCGGGGCTTGATCCCAGAACCCTGGGATCATGACCCCAGCCGAAGGCAGCCGCCCAACCGACTGAGCCACCCAGGCGCCCCAAAGACATTTGAGAATCACTGCAACAGTCCCCTTCCAGCCAAGACCAAGAGACCAAGTTGCTGATCAGTGAGAACGGCAGAACTCCCAACACTAGGGGAATACAGCACATAGAATTCATGGCTTTTTTTCCCATGATTCTTTAGTCTTTCAAAGTTAATTTTTTAAATTTCCTTTTTTTTCTTTTCCTATTTTATTTTTTTCCCTTTTTCAACCAACGTCTTATCAATCCCTTTTTTAAAAACCTTTTTTATTTTTCATTTTTAGAGTCATACTCTATCCCTTCATTGTAGTTAACCGTATTTTTGCATATATATAAGTTGTTCTATCTTTAAAATTTTGAGATACAGTTTCTTCTAACAGACCGAAATATACCCTAAATTTCTAGTGTATGCCTTTGTTCTAGTCTCCTGCCTGATCACATTCTCTCCTCCCCTCCGCTTTTTTTAAATTTCTCTTCTTTTTCAACCAACTTCTTATCAATTCCTTTTATCAAATCTTTTATAATTTTCATCTTTACAGTCATATTCCATCCCTTCATCATATTTACCCTTATTTTTGTACATATATGTTTTCCTTTTTTAAAAATTTTGGGAGGCAGTTTCTTCTAACAGACCAAAATATACCCAAAATCTAGTGTGTGGCAATGATCTATTCACCAGCCTGATCATATTTGATCATATTCTTTTTTTCTTTCCCTTTATTTCCCACCGGTTTCAGGTCTCTTCTCATTTGTTTAGTGTATATTTTTCTGGGGTCGTTTTACCCTGTTAGCATTTTGTTCTCTCATTCATCTATTCTCCTCTGGACAAAATGACAATATGGAAAAACTCACCTCAAAAAAAAGAACAAGAGG